AGTCACAGGAGAAGGGCAAAGTTAGTGCATGGACTGGAGACTCAAGGGTGGCCCTGCAGAGTGTTCTCCAGCGGTTCCACCTCCAGGTGACGTCTCTGCAGGCCTCCCAAGCCCCCTTCTTGCAGGCCAGGCAGGAGACGCCCTGTCCTTATTCTGAAAGGGTCTTCATTCTCTTCTAGAACACAGTGGAGCTGCCCTCCATCCCGGCACAGCTGGCCCCTGCAGCTCTGTCTGCACCAAGGGTCTAGGCCCTCCTGGCCACAGCTGCAGGGCCCAAGGGTGGACCCCTGACCCAAGCTGGCCAACTGGATTCTCTCTCCTGGGAACCTGATACTGGAACCAGGAGGGGCTGTTTACGTTCTTTAGGGCGTGGGCTCAGGAAATGATGGGAGGGGAAGGCTGCATTAGACCCTAAGCATGGGAAGAGGCTGGCCTGAGGGAGAAGCAGAGGGGAGACAGAGGGAGAGAGAGGCGGTTCCTGCCCGCCCCTGGTTCACACTGCTGTCGGGGAGATACCCCACATGCCTGCAACACAAGCTCCCTCCTGCCCTTGCCAGTGTGAGGGCTTCCCCTAACCTTCCACCCGCGAGCCCCAAGACATGTGACCGCCTCTCACCTCCCTCTCTCTAGAACTGCTGCCCTGAGTGCCAGGCACAACCCGACACACTGCTTCCTAGAGAAACACGCTCTGTCAGAACTGCCAGCATTACCTTCTGATCCTGCAGGGGCCTTTGACCCACCTATCTGCCCTGCAGCCATCTGCTGATCAGAGTGGGACAGGAGCTGCCACCCCTGAGGCATCTGCCTCATCTTCCAAGGGGCCGTTTTCTGCTCTGAAGGAACACAGTGCAGGGAGTTTCTTCCACAAATGTGAGACGTGGATAAACCCAGGGAGATGATGACCTCCCCTTCCTTGAGCCCAATGCCCGCTTTATAATGGTGTTTATATGACTAGAGAAGAGAGCTGGGGTTTTTTTTTAATATAATAAAATATAGGGATTTATATTAGGTTTTCTTCTTTCTTTTAGTTAAAAAGAAAAAGATTCCTTCCTATTATTGATTAATGACTCTAGTCTGCCCATCCTTCATGAGACCCTGGCTGTCCAGCGTAGGGTCTGTCTGGCTGGAGCTCCCAGAGTAGGACTGACTGCTTGGCCTGTGGTCTGGGTGTTGCCCAAGCCCCCTCCCGCCCCCATCTGCACCCTCCACTCTAGTTGGGCCAGGTTCCCTCTGTTCCCCTCCAGCAAATGTTTCTTCCTGCTTTTCGCCCAAACGGGGTTCCTTGCCCTCCATCTTCCTCCCTCTCCTCTCTGCCTCCTGGTCCCTTGGGTACCAGCCAAGCTGCCTCCTGCACCCGGCTGTCCTTCCCCGCTCGGGCCGTGCTGCCCTGTCCCTGCTCTGAGCGCCCGTTGTGGCCTTTGTTGTCAGAATTTGCTCCTCCACGCGCCGGGCGTGGTGATCTCGCAGTTTCCCGAGACTAGGGCCTGTCTTGCTGGTGGAGCTGCCATCCACATGACGGCCACCTCTGAGCTGCACACACAAGGTGACCGGAAGGAGGCTCTTGGCATGGGTTTCAAAGCCTTCCTCAAGCCGGGAACTATTCCAAACTACCTTTCTGGCCTTGTCTCCCCTCCAACCCTCCCTAAACTCGGTCACATGCCTTGTTCATCTTTGTTTCAACCTCCACTCCCTAACCCCAGCACAGCACCTGACACGGAGCAGATCCTCAAAATATTTCTGTTGACTTGAAACTACAAATGCTCGTCGGGTTGAATCAATATTGTTCTCTTCAGGGAGTTGAGAAAGAGAAAGAACCATCTGTTGGGATCCCGTCAAGCTCGGGTTGGCCTTGGCTGAGTGCCGACCCCCCGAGAAAGTCTCCATGAGTCTGTGAGGCATGATAACCCCAGTGCAGTGGAGACCCAGCTAGAGAGCCCAAGGTCACACAGAGCCCACCTGACATATCAGGGCCCGTCCAGGTGCTGTGAGAGCAGCCCAGGGGCACAGCCTCTGGGGATACACCCTCTGACAATACACAGAGGGAACATATAACTGATTGTTCAAACCAGGAAACTTCTGCACGTGAACTGGACATTTTGCTGGGACTATTCCAGATAAGCGGGCTGGGTGGTCCCCGCAGGCCACTGATTATGGTCTGTGGTCAAACCCTCCTAAAGAAGAGACAAAATAGAGTTTTCTAAACATAAGAACTTCCTAAAACTCAAAGTCGCTTAGGGTCAAGATGGGTTTATTTTAAAAGCCAATTGTGTTGTTGAAGAAAAGGCTATGTCCTCGGCCCATTTTGGCTACGGTCCGGGGCTGCTTGGGGAATTGTGCTGAAGATGTGTATGCTCCTGGGCCTGGCGTTTTCTGAAAACACAACAGAAAACAGGGAGTGATGAGATGGTGACGCCAGAACCTGAAGCCTCCTGAGCCTGGCTGTGCGCTCAGACGTGGCAGGCAAATCCCCACGGAGGGAGACGAGGGCCACGGTGGCCGGGGCTGGGGCCTGTGCACCCTGGAATTGGAGCCTGTCCTTGGGGCTGAGACCTGATCCTGTCCACGGCTCTCCCCAAGGCTGCAGAGGTGCTGAGAGAAGAGAGGACAAGCAAGTGGCAGCCCGGGGGAGGCGGGCTCACATCCCACCCTCACCTCAAGGCAAGCTTTCTCCAGGGCACCCCCTGTCCCTGGGGATGCCAGCGTCTCCCCCCGCCCTCCGCCCTCCGCCCTCAATGACCTCAGTCTAGTGGTAATGGGTTGGAGAGGATGGATTCTGAACCTGGGTGGTTGACCTCAAAAGCCCAAACTCGTGTGTTTCCATCGTTTTCCCCAGGGTAATAGAGTAAGGTGCTTCACTACCTGGGGCTGTGGACCTCGGGCTCAGAGGGATGTATTCTCAAGGGACTGACGAGTTCTAATTTTGAAAAGCCATGTTTTCATTTTGATGAAATTCTTGAAAAATTATTTAGCCAATTATTTAAACAAAGCTTCTCTTCTGTAGTGATAAGATATAAATGAATGTCATTCTCATGACGAAGACTTTGATTTCTGAAGTCAGTGTTGCCCATGCTGAGGTGCACCCACACATTCTTGAATGCCCCAATATTTTATCTTAGCGACACACTGGTGTCTCTGGGTACCGTTAAGGGAAGGGTTTTAATGTCAGACGGGGCTGGGTTTGAGTCCTAGTCCTACCACCAATGGCTCAATATGACCCTGGGCCACGTGCTTCCCACGCCTCACCCAGCAAATGAGGTTTTGAGGTTCACTGGGGGCCCCCAAAGACAGACAGCACCACCAGGCTGGCAGCAGGTACTGCTCCACACGCTAGCCACCACCACTATTATTATCCCCTATCATCACCTACTTGTCATTGCCATCCTCCCTTGCAGTTTGTTATCTCTTCAGGAAACAGTGAGAGTGGAAACAGGATTACTAGAGCGTCAGCCCAGAGTGGATGAGATCAGCTGCCTGCAGACGCTGCTTTAGACAGGATGTTTTCCTTGCCAAAAGCAGGGGAGCAGCCTGGAAATCTAATCAACTCCCGGCCAGACGTCAAAGGAAGCTGAAGCCTTTATTAGTGCTCTTAATGAGGAAGCAGCATGCGTGTGGAGTCCTGGAAGGCCAGTCCCCAAACAGGAGGTTCGTGGGCCTGGGCCTCGCAAGGCCACCCCTCAGGAGGCTACTGGGTGTGGTTCTCAGACCTTGAGAACATCCGGCTCCGTCCCCCAGCCCTGATTCCACTGTCACCAAGCAAATTTCTGATTGTTGTTGGCTTCCTTCCAAGTTTCCTACAAGGGGAGATGCTCCACAGAGCAGCGGCCCCAGACACCAGCCCCCTTGCCGTACACTTGTAAATGAATACCACACCTTCCGGCTTCTCCATCAGTCTCCCTGGAGTTTGGTTAGCATGACTCCAACTTCCTGAGGAGCTGTGAGCTCTGACAAAAATCTGTGTTTGGGTCATGATAATGCCACTAGGGTGTGAGGACCCGCTGAAGGGATCCACTAGCCTCCTGCTGTTGGTGTGTTTTTAATATTATTGGTGGGGCCTCCCCAGTATTCCTCCAGAGAAAGACCACACTGCTGCCACACTGTAGCACCGCAGCTGGCAGCTCTGCAGCGAGATGGCCTGGGACAACCCAGGGGGTGCTGGGGGAGGTGACCTGCAGGCAGCGGCCTCCTGCCCACCGCCCCAGCTCCTCCCACCCTCCTTGTTCGCCCCCCACCCCGGGGTGGTGCTGTTTTCTCATGAGCAGAATTCGTGTTTCTGTCTTCCTAACCATGTCCAATGAGGCTACAAACCACTGAGCTTGGGGGACTTTCAGACTGAGGTGCTGGCTAGGAACAACAAGGCCAGGGGAATTCAAACTTTTAGCATCAAACGAACAACAGCCCTAGCCACTTTCATAAGCTCCGTGTTACGCTTTTGCCATCCTTCTTGGTCTTCTCTAGGCCTCAGAGGCTCTCGCACACTCCCAGAATCCACCTTCTTTGTGTATCTCCAGGAACGTGAGCCTCTTCCCTGTCTGTCCCGAGTCCTTGGGGGCAGGATGATGGCTCAGGCCTTAATGGTGCCCTTTGGTTCAATCATAATGTTTCTGCTGTGACTTTTTGTTCCCAGAAGACACATACACAAAGAATGGCAGTTCTGGATGGGCGGGGGCAGCCTGTGCCCACTGCTGGCTTCAATGCGTTAAAGGAGTTTCCCCCCAGAGCATCCAGGACATAACACCGATGGCTAATTACTGTGCTGGCTGTTCGCAACTGGACCCATAATTCAGCCACGGCCTTCAGGTCTGGAGTCACTCTGAGCCTGAAGCTGGCCGAGGGCTTGCCGAGGAAGCTCTATGCCCTTTGCTGCCCTGAGAAGCAATTTTAGTGTATATATACTAGAATTGTATATAACTCTGCTACCCCCATCCGACCCCCAATGCCCACTCCCCACCCACCCACCAGCCACAAAACCTACAACCACATCTGTCTTTTAGGATACTTACTGAACAGGCCGGCAAGAATCGAGGTACTCTGGATTGAAAACAGGAAGTAACAGAACTCACTGAAGGTATTTTCAAGTCATAACGACCTGGTCCTGGGCCTTCACGCTGTAGAAAAAAAAATTTTTTTAAGTGTTTCATAAATAGTGATATCAGATATATTTTGATGCTATATTTGCCTTTTATGAATAAGCATATGAATCAGTGTGATAAGGTAGAAAAATCCCTGGATCGGGGCTCGGAAGATCTTATTAAGGTGTGCCCTGGCACAGGCCACTGTGAATGGGAATAATACCTGCTTTACCTGCCTCATGGATGACTGTGAAGACTGGAGTTAGGTGACCTGTGAAAGTCTCCCCTGTCCCTGCCTGGATGCCCTCTTCTCTCCCAGGCCCCCTGCCCACCCCTGCAGGCCTCACATCATTCTTGTCCCTCTGTTGACGGTGACTTGCTGCTCTGAGCTGTTAGCTTTATAAAACATGCTCATTCTTTCATATAAATGCAGTACATGTTCTCTTAGTCCAAAAAAAAAAAAAAAAGTATTCACAGCAATTCACTGACCTAAGTGTTGATACAATGCTATGAGGTTAACAGAAATGCATGAATACAATTTTAAAAAGACAAACACCTCTAAAGAAAAGTTAGCAAAAGGCAATTCACAAAGAGGAAATGCAGTGAGGAAACTGGGGGCTGGGGCGGGCTTTAAGGTCATTAATAACCAAATAAGGTGTCATTAAAACAAAGAGATACTTTTGTGGGGGCCAGGAAAGAAAGAGAGGGAGGGAGGGAGGGAGGAAGGAAGAGAGGGAAGGAGGAAGGGAGGGAGGGAGGGAGGAAAGGAGGGAGGAAAACTTTATCCACAGCGTGGACACTCCTATATGACTCTGGTGGAAGTATTAATTTGATTAGCCTTTCTGAAGCACACAATTTGGCAAGCTATGAAACATCTTAAAAACAGATATACCTATCCAAAGGGAGAGAAAGAAGAAAGGAGTCTGGTTACAAGATTGCTGCGGGAACCCAGAAGACAGATAATGAGTCCTGAGCCCAGGTATGGCAGGAAAATGAACACAGCCCAAACAGCACCGTAGATAACATAGACAAAATGTTAACCTTTCTTTATTTTCTAGCAATTCACTTCTTTTCCTCTCCTGTTTTCAAATACCTGTGCTATTTGACAGAAAAGAGTCTTTCTGGCATGATGTCTTGGATCTGTTTCTAAACAACACAGGAACTAGGGGAAGTGGGTGGGGTATGGACTGGCCAGGAGCTGGTCACTTTCAAATGGGTACATGGGGGTTCTGTCTATGTGGTATATATTTTTAAACTTTCTACAGTACAAAGTTAAAGACAATATATATTTATCATTTTGACCCATCAATTCCATTTTTAGGAATTCTTCCTAAGAAAACAATTGAGGATGTGTGCAAACATTTGGCCACAGAGACATTCACTATAACATTGTTTCTAAAAGACGTGTGCCTGGTTAAATAAATTGTGATTCTTCCATCCAGCCATCCAGGTTGATGAATTTTTAGGGACATAAACACTATTCCCAAATATCGTTAACAATGCAAGCTTTAAAAAGTGTGCATAAAAAAACTGGAAATGGAATGTTCACTGACAGTAGTTTTCTCCAGGTGGCGCCGTGTTGAGTAAAAAGAAACTTTTTTTTTTTTTTTTTTTTTGCTTATTGGCAATTTCTAATTTTTTTATGATGGACTTAAGTACTCTTGAAATATGAAAAAAAATTATACCTAATGTATAGATAAATGAATATGGAAATTGGGTAAGTGAAGAAGGGGGTAGGGAAAGAAAGAAAATGAGCAGTAAGGTTAGAACAGAAATGTTCCTGTAAGATCCTGTAACATACGAGGCAGTAAGGTTAGAACAGAAATGTTCCTGTAAGATCCTGTAACATACGAGGCTGAGCCACAAGGTAGCTCAATGGCTTTGGCTGAACAAGCACCAGCTGCAGCCCCTTCTCAGGGTTTAAGGGCAAGGCTTTCAAAACCCTGTTCTCCTTTGGGTGGCACAGCAGCGTAATTCCGGTTGCCATTCTCAATTATCCACCACGAATGAAGTCTGTTATTATCAGCCAAGCACAAATCTGGTAATCAAGGGATGCGCCTCATCATTTTACAGTTCGTGGCAGAGAGATGAAAACAGCCGTGTTTTCAACCTGACGCATCCATGGGACAAAGGTCGCTGTCAGGGCAAGGCTCTCCGTACGACGTGACCAACCTCTGCACTCCCACTGGAGAAGTCCACGCCACGATAAGAACACAGGCATAGAAAGGCGGGGAAATCTGGACAGGAACGGTTTGCACAAAGTCCCTTTGGTTTGGCCGTAAGAAATGTAAGCTCTCAAGCCAAAGTGGTAGCTGGGGCAAAAGATGCTGCTGAGGGTGCTACCACTGACTCTCCGCCTACGACAGCCTAGCTGTCTGCAGGATGGCTAAGAAATGCTGTGACCTGCACCCTTTCCCCCCAGGCCTCATGTGGTTTCACTTCTAAGCTTCCAAGTCATGAGCTGCTTGGGAGGCCAGGTGCCAGGCCTGGCGAAGCCCTGATGTGTGCCTATGCCATCCAGCAGCCTCCCTGCATGTGCCTGGTCATCTGAATCAAAGGGCCTGAGACTTAGGGCATAAAGAAATTACTAAATGCTATTTGCCCCCCATGTGTTACATGGGATCTTTTAAGTGGGGAACATTAAGGAAGTGGATATGGGCCCAAGTTCTTATTCCAGAAGCCACAGGAACCCTGCTATAAGTGAGAAGTAATGGCCAGGCCAGGGCCCTGCAATGGGCGGGAAGCAGCTCCAGCAGAGTCCCCGATTCTGCCCTAACCAAGGATGGCAAGTGGGCAGAGCTGAAAGGAGGGAAGGGGACTTGGTCCAGGATGCCTCTGAATGTGTGTTGAGAAATGGACCTGGTTCAACGAGAGGGGCGTTTAAAACAAGGAGAACAGGGAGGGGTAATACAGGGATAGGAGATTAAGAGGTACAAACTATTATGTATAAAATAAGCTACAAGGATATATTGTACCACACAGGGAATATGACCAATATTTTATAATAACTACCCTTTAAAAATTGTAAATCACTATACTGTACATCTGTAACTTATATAATATTGTACATCAACTATGTATCGATTTAAAAAAAAAAAAAAGAAGGACATTTAACTGTGTCCTACTCCTCCCTGAAGTTGGGGATTCTGCTCTCTGGTTTGCTGGCGATCTCTGAGCATGATCCAGAACTGTGGACCACATTACGTACGATGTGTGGGTGAAGGGTGGCACCCAGGTTCATCAAGCAGTGCTAAGCACCTCTTGCACAAATTGAATGGACCATTTCTTAAACCTTCCTATCATCAGGGCCATGCTTTGGCAACTCTGGGTTTCCCAAACTAAACTTTTCAGAGACCGTTGACATCTGGTGCCAAGGGAGAACAGAACTATCACCTTCCTAGAATCCCAGAACCTGCTGCCAAAAGAAACGACAGGAACCTTTTATAGCTCCCCTTCCTCGATTCAGGGCGTGATTACACCTCAACACTCCTGGTAAGATGATCGTATCTTCCTCTTGCCTTGGAAAAAGTCTTATCTAATTGAGTTTCCACTTGAGGACAATCTTAACCTTAAGGGATTACACGGTATTTTATGTATGATAGTATTTGATGATGAATAAAATACGATAATCGACCTAGAGGAGTTTATGGTCCAGTGAGGGACACAGGCAAACAGAAACACCAAAAAAGAAGAAATGGAGATGTGAGGAGCTACCATGGTGCTGAGGGAGGGCAGAGCTAGCTGCATGGCTTCAAGATTCCAAACCAGGTCCTTGGTGTACCTGGCCTGTGCTACGTAAGTTTGATCTCAGTGGGATGTTACAAAGAGCTGGAGTTTTCCACTTACTGCAAAGGACTCGGAATGCATGGGTCTCACTCATTTTTCTGGAGTGCTCCTGGGACCGTGTCGTACCATGAAGACATACCATAGCCTCCACCTTGGCCTTCTTGACCAATTTGGTTCCAACCCCTAATGTGCAATAATGCTCAGTACCGTTGTAGGCCTTTGGTAAAAGCCTTGCCACCCCCTCACCTGCCACTGAACACACTCCTCCTCCGGGGCTGAGAGGATGGGACTGGCTTATCTACACAACACCGCTCAGGAACTGAGAGGTGCCAGGTGCCTCTGAAAGACTGTGTGAGAGTAGATGAAATTATCCCACGATTTTGTGTACTGAATTATGTCCTCCCAAATCCTATGAGTTTTTGGTGTGTGTAGAAGAGGTGTATGCAAATTCTAAGGAGCATCCTAAAGGAGGGGGCAGCTCATCCATCTTCCCTGCCCTCCTGCCTGCTAGCTGGTCCCATGTTCTCAGCTCTCTGGGACCATGGGTGTGGAAGCAATGCTTAGCAGAGCAGCACACAGAAATCTGAGGCTGCAGAACTACCACACCAGCCCTAAACTGCCTACTGCAGGTACTTTATATAAGAGAGAAATAAGTTCCTATCTTGTTTCTAATATTGTTACCCATGGGCTCTGTTAGTGGCAGCAGAACTCAGTCTTAATTGACAAGGTAGGCATGTTTCCAACTCTCATGCGGTTTACATTCCAGTAGGGAATGTCTCCCTTACAAAAATATGATGAATGTGTGGAGTATCACACAGAGGACATATATGGTGCCACGAGAGCATGTAAGAGGGTACACTGACCTGGCCTGAGGGGCCTGAGAAGCTCTTTAAAGAAGTACATTTGAGCTAAGACCAAAAGAACAAGGAGGAGGAGGAGTTTGCAGGGCAAAAAGGCTGGAGGAAGGGTCTGTGTAAGAAGAAGTAATGGGGGGCTTCCCTGGTGGCGCAGTGGTTGGGAGTCTGCCTGCCGATGCAGGGCACACGGGTTCGTGCCCCGGGCTGGGAAGATCCCACATGCCGCGGAGCGGCTGGGCCCGTGATCCATGGCCGCTGAGCCCACGTGTCCGGAGCCTGTGCTCTGCAACGGGAGAGGCCACAACAGTGAGAGGCCCGCGTACCGCAAAAAAAAAAAAAAAAAAAAAAAAGGATTAGGGAACATCAAAAGGGGCAGGGCCTCAGGGCAAGCCT